AATATATTGACCCAGAAAATGACAAAGAAAATTCAATAATCTAAGACTTGGTAACCATATTTGTCGTAATATAAAATCTGTAGCATATAGTATCAATGCTAATTCCACCAGATATATGAGAAATTTTTGAGGCATTAGTTTGGTATGAGGACACAGTGTTCGTAATTTTGCAAATATACACAAGACAGATAATACGAAGAGTGAAGATGCAGCATTTGGTGTTAGCAGAGGTAATTTTGAATAACGCAATTCAATGATACTTAGACCATGCAAATGCATAAATATTCCCAGGCAGATTATTATAGCAGATTCAATAATATTTAATTTCATTTTTTTTAATTGAAAATTTAGACTTAAAATTTGTATTGAATTTGTGAGAAAAATTGAGGTTTGAAAATAATTTCAATGTAGAGAAAATTGGAATGTAGTGGAAATAGATCAAGTGTAAGGGCGAATATTAGGGTTTCCAGATAATTTTTATAATATTAATTATAGCTTGATTTAGAGTCTATAGTCTGGACTATAGTCTGAACTATAGTGTGGACTATAGTCTAGTCTATAGTCTGGACTATAGTCTAGTCTATAGTCTGGACTATAGTCTAGTCTATAGTCTGGACTATAGTCTAGTCTATAGTCTGGACTATAGTCTAGTCTATAGTCTGGACTATAGTCTAGTCTATAGTCTGGACTATAGTCTAGTCTATAGTCTCGATTATAGTCTAGTCTATAGTCTGGACTATAGTCTAGTCTATAGTCTGGACTATAGTCTAGTCTATAGTTTGGACTATAGTCTAGTCTATAGTCTGGACTATAGTCTAGTCTATAGTCTGGACTTTAGTCTAGTCTATAGTCTGGACTATAGTCTAGTCTATAGTCTGGACTATAGTCCAGTCTATAGTCTGGACTATAGTCTAGTCTATAGTCTGGACTACAGTCTAGTCTATAGTCTGGACTATAGTCTAGTCTATAGTCTGGACTATAGTCTAGTCTATAGTCTGGACTATAGTCTAGTCTATAGTCTGGACTATAGACTAGACTATAGTCCAGACTATAGACTAGACTATAGTCCAGACTATAGACTAGACTATAGTCCAGACTATAGACTAGACTATAGTCCAGACTATAGACTAGACTATAGTCCAGACTATAGACTAGACTATAGTCTGGACTATAGTCTAGTCTATAGTCTGGACTATAGTCTAGTCTATAGTCTGGACTATAGTCTAGTCTATAGTCTGGACTATAGTCTAGTCTATAGTCTGGACTATAGTCCAGTCTATAGTCTGGACTATAGTCTAGTCTATAGTCTGGACTATAGTCTAGTCTATAGTCTGGACTATAGTCTAGTCTATAGTCTGGACTATAGTCTAGTCTATAGTCTGGACTATAGTCTAGTCTATAGTCTGGACTATAGTCTAGTCTATAGTCTGGACTCTAGTCTAGTCTATAGTCTGGACTATAGTCTAGTCTATAGTCTGGACTATAGTCTAGTCTATAGTCTGGACTATAGTCTAGTCTATAGTCTGGACTATAGTCTAGTCTATAGTCTGGACTATAGTCTAGTCTATAGTTTGGACTATAGTCTAGTCTATAGTCTGGACTATAGTCTAGTCTATAGTCTGGACTATAGTCTAGTCTATAGTCTGGACTATAGTCTAGTCTATAGTCTGGACTATAGTCTGGACTATAGTCTGGACTATAGTCTGGACTATAGTCTGGTCTATAGTCTGGACTATAGTCTGGACTATAGTCTGGACTATAGTCTAGTCTATAGTCTGGACTATAGTCTAGTCTATAGTCTGGACTATAGTCTAGTCTATAGTCTGGACTATAGTCTAGTCTATAGTCTGGACTATAGTCTAGTCTATAGTCTGGACTATAGTCTAGTCTATAGTCTGGACTATAGTCTAGTCTATAGTCTGGACTATAGTCTAGTCTATAGTCTGGACTATAGTCTAGTCTATAGTCTGGACTATAGTCTAGTCTATAGTCTGGACTATAGTCTAGTCTATAGTCTGGACTATAGTCTAGTCTATAGTCTGGACTATAGTCTAGTCTATAGTCTGGACTATAGTCTAGTCTATAGTCTGGACTATAGTCTAGTCTATAGTCTGGACTATAGTCTAGTCTATAGTGTGGACTATAGTCTAGTCTATAGTCTGGACTATAGTCTAGTCTATAGTGTGGACTATAGTCTAGTCTATAGTCTGGACTATAGTCTAGTCTATAGTCTGGACTATAGTCTAGTCTATAGTCTGGACTATAGTCTAGTCTATAGTCTGGATTATAGTCTAGTCTATAGTCTGGATTATAGTCTAGTCTATAGTCTGGACTATAGTCTAGTCTATAGTCTGGACTATAGTCTAGTCTATAGTCTGGAATAGTCTAGTCTATAGTCTGGACTATAGTCTAGTCTATAGTCTGGACTATAGTCTAGTCTATAGTCTGGACTATAGTCTAGTCTATAGTCTGGACTATAGTCTAGTCTAAAGTCTGGACTATAGTCTAGTCTAAAGTCTGGACTATAGTCTAGACTATAGTCTGGACTATAGTCTAGTCTATAGTCTGGATTATAGTCTCGTCTATAGTCTGTACTATAATCTGGAATATAGTCTGCACCATTGTCTGGACTGTAATCTGGACCATAGTCTAGACTATACTCTGAACTACAGTCTGGACTATAGTATGAACTATAGGCAGGACTATAGTCTGAACTATAGTCTGGACTATAGTATGAACTATAGTCTGGACTATAGTATGAACTATAGTCTGGACTATAGTCTAGTTTATAGTCTGAACTATAGTCTAGACTATACTCTGAACTATAGTCTGGACTATAGTCTGTACTATTGTCTGGACTATAGTCTGAACTATAGTCTGGGCTATAGTCTGTACTATTGTCTAGTATATAGTCTGGTCTATAGTCTGGACTATAGTCTAGTCTATAGTCTGGATTATAGTCTGGTCTATAATCTCGACTATAGTCTAGTCTATAGTCTGGACTGTAGTCTAGTCTATAGTCTGGACTATAGTCTAGTCTATAGTATGGACTATAGTCTAGTCTATAGTCTGGACTATAGTTTAGTCTATAGTCTGGACTATAGTCTAGTCTACAGTCTGGACTATATTCTAATCTATAGTCTGGACTATAGTATAGTCTATAGTCTGGACTATAGTATAGTCTATAGTCTGGACTAGAGTCTAGTCTATAGTCTGTACTATAATCTAATTTATAGTCTGATCTATAGTCTAGTCTATAGTCTGGACTATAGTCTACTTTATAGTCTGGGCTATAGTCTAGTCCATAATCTGGACTATAGTCTAGTCTGTAGTCTGGACTATCGACTAGTCTATAGTCTGGGCTATAGTCTAATCTATAGTCTGGACTGTAGTCTAGTCTATAGTCTGGACTATAGTCTAGTCAATACTCTGGACTATAGTCTAGTTTGTAGTCTGGACTATAGTCTAGTCTATAATCTGGACTATAGTCTAGTCTATAATCTGGACTATAGTCTAGTCTATAGTCTGGACTATAGTCTGGACTATAGTCTGGACTATAGTCTAATCTATAGTCTGGACTATAGTCTAGTCTATAGTCTGGACAATAGTCTAGTCTATAGTCCGGACAATAGTCTAGTCTATAGTCCGGACAATAGTCTAGTCTATAGTCCGGACAATAGTCTAGTCTATAGTCCGGACAATAGTCTAGTCTAAAGTCTAGTCTACAGTCTAGACTATAATCTAGTCTATAGTAAGGGATAAAGTCTATAGTCTATAGTCGTGTAACCATCTTGATTTTTGGCTGAATGTAAAATCAAATAATCGGAAAACCGAATATTCCGCAAATGTTCATATAGAAAACTTACTGCTCTCGATAATCATTATTCAAACTTTCTGAATGTGAGAGCAAATATCCAATCGAAAACTATAAATCAAAAAAAACTTAATGAAATTAACCGTAACAAAGAAAAATATGTCTTTCTGTGGCCCATTATAACATCGTCTTCTACTTAGTGAACTGTTTTAATCCAAAAAGTGATTAGAAATAAGAAGATCCTTTAAAAGGGAAATAAACTTCAGTCATCAAATAAAACTTTACAATTTAGAAAATACATAATGCTACTTTCATGCATTTAATCACTGGAGTTTTAAAATAATTCTTATAAGTTGTTTATTTTTTTTTAATTTCATCATAGAAATTTTGTCATTTATTATTCTTCAAAAATATACTTTATCGCAAGTGGAATTTGCCTTAATTCATATTAAAACCTTAAGCATTAATAAATAAAAAAAAAAGGTAAGAGAGAATTGCAGTGACCGACGAATGATGATGATGATAAAATGTTTAAAAATGGTAAACAAAAAAAAAAGAAAAGCAAATGTACAAAATAAAAAAAATAAAGAGGAAATGAAAAAAATAATACAAAAACGTATTTATACAATTAAATTGAAAATTAGATCTATGAAAAACTAGAAGTTAAAAAAAAAAATTCAAATCATTTGTTGTGTTTTCTTTTAGTTCCCTCTGTGGATAAACTTAATAAAAAAAGACAATAATAATTACTAAAATTATTTAAAATAAAATGAAATTAAACTATGATATTAGATATATGTATGTATGTGTAGGGTTAAACTAAATATGTATGTAATAATGTAAATGTTTGTTGTTGTTTTTTTGTATTGTTTTGTAATTGATATTATAAAAGAAAAAGATGAAATAGTGAATAGTGTGAACAAATAATAATAATAATAAAAGTAAAAGTAAATAAATGTAAAAAACGCATAACATAGACATAGTTATGTTATTTTTGTATGTATGTTGTTTGTATTGTGTTATTTTGGATTTTTTGTAAATTTTTTTGTCTTAACGACATTGTGTTTTTTTTTATATTTTTTCTTTTTCTTTTAAAAATATATATTTATAGAGATAAACTTTGTTTTTTGTTTGTGTTTTTTGTTTTGCAAAATTTTGTTTTAGTACGAAAATGAATCCAACGTACCATTCTTTTGTTGCATATACATGCCTCTTTGATTACCAGCTCCACCATTGCCGTTCATAGTCGAGGAGGGTGCTCCTTGATTGGTATTCTGTTTAGCGATAGGACGACGTTTCGCCAAAGGTAAATCATCATCGGAATCACTGAGTGTCAAGTCCACCTGGAAATTTATTTTATTGATAATTTTTAGTATATTGATTATTTAAATGAAATTTGTTTAAAACTTACAGTTTCACTATTTGTAGTTGATGAAGGTTGTTCATTTGTATTAAGCGATGCAGAAGCTACTGCCTTGACAGGTTTAACATCTTCTGTGGTAATGAGTTCTAAAAAAGGTAACATTGAAAATTAATTTGGTATTTATGAAAATTTCGAATTATAAAAATTCCAAGTTCAATATTGGATTCCCAGGGTCTAGTAATTTAACAGTTTTAATTTTTTTTCGAACATAACTTCGAACTTCTTTAGTTATTTTGTCCAAACTTTTGAAAATTACTTAAAAATCTTATATTCGAACACTAAACTTTATGAAAATTTTGAAATTATTTTCAAAATTTTTAAGTTCGAAATTCAATTTTTTTTTCGAACATAACTTCCAAATTTCGAATTCTGTCTAAATTTTCGAAAATATGTATCTTAAAATTTCTATATTCTAAAACTACAATGAAAATGCTTAAACATTTTATTAATTAATTTCAAAATTTTCATGAATTTAAAATTTTTTTAAATTTTGTTTAAAATTTTTTAATTTTGAAATTAAAGAAATATAAAAAATTGATTTGAAATTTAACTGAAATTATATTTTTATGACTGCCCAAGATGTGGAAATTATTTTTAGGGCTTTAAAACTTTTTCGAACATAACTTCGAATTTTCGAAATTTTGTACGAATTTTGGAAAATACATATCTTAAAATTTCCTTATTCTGAAACTGCAATAAAAATTTTAAAATAATTTCAAAATTTACATAAATTTTTCAAAATTTTTAAGTTCGAAATTGAAAAAATATAAAAAAATGGTCTCAAATTAAGCTAAAATTATATTTTTTTTGAATGCTCATGATTTAGGAATTATTTTAGTACCATTAAAATTTTTCGAACATAACTTCGAATTTTCGAAATTTATACAAATTTTTGAAATTTATCCAAATTTTAGAAAATATTTTAAAAACCTTATGTTCTGAAACCACATTGATAAAATTGTTTAAAATTCATGGAAATTTTAAATTTATTTAAAAATTTTTAAGTTCGAAATTGAAAAAATATAAAAAATTGGTCTTAAATTCAGCTTAAATTACATTTTTATGAATGCTCATGATTTAGGAATTACTTTAGTATCGTTAAAAATTTTTCGAACATAACTTCGAATTTTCAAAATTTAATTGAAATTTTGAATTTATTCAAATTTTTGAAATTTATTCGAATTTTCAAAATTTGTTCAAATATTTGAAATATAGTGTCTATATTCAAAAACTTCATTGAAAATACTAAAAAAATTCATGAAATTTTTGAAAATTTTTAATTTCGAAATTCGAAAATTTTAAAAATTTCCCATAAATAAAAGAAATTAAATATTTTTATCAATTCTAATGATTTGGAAATTACTTTAACACATTTAAAATATTTTCGAACATAACTTCGAATTTGCAAAATAATTTTAAAAATAAATTAGAAACAAGTCCGAAGTAAGAGTCATCCCAGATACTTACCAATATCATCTGAAATAACTTCGACTTTTTCAACTGGCTTAGTAGGGGTATCTAAAATTTGACCTTCATTCCTTAAGCTATGAGTGCTCCATGAGCCATCTTTGTGCAATTGTATTTCAGTATCATCTGGTTTAAGTAAATTCGAGGCTAATACTTCTTGGAAGTAGCTAAAAAAAAAACAATAAAAATTTATAAAATATCTAATAGAAAATTTCAATCGTTTGGTAAATTTACAAGAGATTAAAACCACCGATTTTTAAGCGATTAAAGCAACTTAATATTTTTGCAAAAATGCAACACAAAACAGAAGCTTTAGAAAGTCTTATTCTGTGTGAGATAGGTTGCAATGTTAAAATCCATAACAAAAATAGTCTTGTTAATATGCAAGACATTAAAACACTCTTGCAAATATACTTTAAAGAAAAATATAACAAAAGAAATCCACAATTTACTTACCCATCAATAACCAGATTATCATAAACAGCAGGTTTATCACAAACTGGACAATTCCAAGTGGGTTTACGTTCGTTCATTTGCAGGTAAAGGCTAGCATCAAAACATTGCAAATGTGAGCATGTTGAAGCACGACACGGTATGGACATTTTCATTTTACCCAATGGACAATTTAACGATACCTTTAACATAGTCGTAGCAATTTCACAGTCAGCATCTTCGGTTAACTTTTCTTTGACTATAATAGATATAGAACATTAGAATTTATATACCGTACTAGTAACCATTTAATAAACCTACTTAGAGCTCTAGTATAATCAGCTGGCTTAACACCCTTCTGTTTCATTCTTTGCAATAGTTGAGCAGATGTTAATTTCTTAACTAAATAAACAGCAATACAGTAGCCTCGTGTGTAGTCTGGACACCATTGCACAGTTATTGTATTAGTTACTGTGGGTGATAGTTTAACATTTGATGTAACATTTACTGGTCGGGGTGGTCGTTTTGGTTCCACATTGGGACGATTTGTTGGAATGACATTCTAATAAGAAAAAAAAAAAGAAAAAGATACAAATAATATTTTACCAAATTTCTTTAAAATGTTATTACTTACTGGCAGTTGGCATAATTTATTATTAACTTTAACACTGACACTTGGTGGAAAACAATCCTCTTGATCGCATGATGTCTCTAATAGACAGAATCTCAACTGAACTTGTATAGCATGTTCGATTTTCGAACTATTGCGTATGTCACGATTTGATGCTATTTCCGTGGCTTGTTGTGGAGTTAATGTAAAATAAAACGGTACTTCCTGTATGCGCTGAGCATTACGAGGCACTAATGATGATGGTTTAATCAAAGTGCCCAGCACATCATAAAATGCTAATTTTCTCAAACGTACATCGGGATGAATGGGCATTTGAGTGGGTATAGTATGTAGGAATGGTACTACATTATTGCCAGGCGGTACACCAGCTTGCATGCCAGCCTGATTAGCTGGATTTAATATTTGTTGTGCCTGTCCCATTTGAGCCGCAGTATTGGCACCCACCATACCACCGGCATTCGGTTGCATTTGCATTTGTGAATACATTCTTTTCGGTTCTGTTGGACCGTATTGATTGGCTTGTTGATCAACACTAGATTGAAGAAGAAGAGCAAAAAAAATATTTTAAATAAGTCTTATATGTTTTGTTATTCTCCAAAAAAAAAAGAGAAACTTACATGGATTGTGTGTAGACTTCTCGTATCTTTGGTGCAATTAATTCAAAATTAGTTCGCAACAATTGTAAAATTCTTCTTTGATAATCAATTTTACGTCCAGCAAAGGAAATGTTCAAATAAACAAGTATCTTTTGTAGTTCAACCACACGAAGAAGACTTACCATTTCCTCACATTCCTGTAAAAATAAATTGTTGTAGTTGTAATTTGTTTTTATTTTCGTAATGGTTTTTGTCTAGTAAAAAGGTATATATCCATAGATTAATCAATAGACTGGTGAATACACTAGTGCATAGACTAGTCCATAAACTATTCAATACACTAGTTCATAGACTGGTCAATAGACTAGTTCATACACTGGAGAATATACAAATCCATAGACTAGCCTATAGTCTAGTTTACAGTCTAGTCCATAGACTAGTCTATAGTCTAGTTCATAGATTAGTAGACTGGTCTAGTCCATATATTAGTAGACTAGCCTTTACTATACTCCATCACTAGCCCATAAACTTTTTGGTAGATCAATCAATAGACTTGCCTATAGTGTAATGGGCTAATCTTTGGACTTGTCAATAGACTGCTCCATATAGACTTGTTAATAGACTGGTCCATAGACTTGTTAATAGACTAGGAAATAGACCAGTCAATAGGCTAGTCAATGGACTAGTCCATAGACCTGACGATAGACTAATCAATTGAATAATGGACTAATCAATAGACTATTCAATAGACTAATCAGTAGACTAGATAGACACTTGACCATAGATTAGTCAATTACTTGTCGCAGACATAAATTTTAGCATAGATTAGTCCATTGACTAGACAATAGACCAGTGCATTGTCCATACATTTCATTTCCATCCTATTAGTAATCGAAATTTCTGTTTCGAGTGACAATTTTTTAAAACTCCACTCTTTTCATTCCTATTATTTTCGAAACCAGAAGATCATATGCCAACTCATATACGACCCCATTAGTGTCGTTGTACCCAACGCAGTCTGATTGTAAAACGTTCTACCAACACTTTTATAGTAGTCAACTATACTGGAATGTACTATGTAACATTTCATGGGCTGCATTTAGCCAGATTAACGAAATTAATAGATTTTATAAACCCTACTATCAAGATGTGCGAATATTAAATCTCTTATCTTTCCAAATCTCTAAAATCGTAGCATGTCCGTAGTTCATGTTTATATCACTTTTCATTATATGGACTACGGCTAGAGTACTTCTTAGGTCATTTAATGAAATCGACACACTACTCAAACAGTTTTTCGGTTGTAATCCACTTGTTCTTATTTGGACACTGTATTAAGGGCGTAACATAGAAGTCTAGCATTATTAGGACAAACTTGTGTTAGTTATAGTTATGAGTGCAATTCTAAGGGGTCATTTGTTATGGACTGATTTCAATAGGGTTTGTTCTTTGTCCCAAGCTGTTGATGGAACAAATTTTATCGTTATCATATTATAGGACACCACCATGTTTCACTAGTATAGTGTAGGGTATAAATATGTACACATCTCTAAAATAAATTTTCAAATTGAGTAGAATACCTATAATGATCACAGATATTTTGGAGGAATAGTTACTGGTTAACACTTAAAGTACACAGTGAGTAAAACATTAGTATATAGCAAATTTTTATGGCAAATATTACAAAAATACACTTAAATTTTTAATTTACAATTCAATTGTATATTTTTTAAAAATGATAATTTAAAACAAAAAGTTAAAAGTTCAATCACACTTTCTCGGAACGCTTAATAAAAAAAGGCAGACTTAAATGGAAAACTATGTAATGAAAAGGGGAAATGTAGCATTTTTTTGTCAAATACATATATAAAAACAAAACAAATACATATAAACAATCACCAACACAACAGCAAAACAGCACCAACACCAATATGCTATCACTACTACAATAACATAAAATCTCTATATACCTCCAGTATACAAGAACAAAATGCACACACACTTTATATACTTAGTTTATATACATATTTCTGTATATAAAACTCACACACACACACTTTCACATTTATAGCAAAACAAAAGAAAAAAAAGAAAAGAAGAAAAAAAATAAAAAGGAATGAAAAAATACAAGTTGGCAACATCTTAGAAGAAGACACATAAAACCGAATTCCCGAAACTCTATATTGCAAATGAAATGAAAGAAAATTATTTTATTTTAAAGCCAAATTATCATAATACAAATGTTTTTAAACTATATTTTAATTAATTAAATTGTAAATTTTAACCACCATAAACTTCTATTTCATTATACCTCAACAATAATTTAACATTTTTGCAAATGTTAAAAGAGCCATATTTTCACTTTTTCTAAATGTGTTGGGAAAAAAAATCACACAATTTTTTGTTGGTATTGTCGCACACAAAAAAAAAAATAAAAGTTGTATCGTCTTTTTCAATAGTGTTTCGTATTTTTGCCGATTTTTATTCACTTGTATTTCATTAATTTAATAATATTCAATGTAACTCTTTAAATATTTATTTAATTTAGTTTTAATTTAATAACATTTGTTATTGTAATAAATTTTATTTTGTTTTTTTCTGCATTTATTTATGCGGGGTTTTTCACACACATTTCAGTTCTCTTTTTTTGCTTGTCTTGATAAACTCTACGAAAAAAGAAAATAAAATTCTATTCCAAAGAATATGGCGGCGAGTTTGGTCTTTTTTTGAGGGATCAAAAAAAATCCCAATATTTTATGTGGGTTTCATTTTGCCAGCTGTAATGAACACTGCCAAATGCAAATAAACACAGAGTTGCATAGAAAAAGTAAACTTAAATCTTAACTCAAATCGTGTAAAACAAAACCGTAATATCTCAAAAATTTCAGTTTTGTTAAAAAGATTGTTAATCAGGGTTGGATATTATCCTTTGTTAATTTTTTTAAATTTGTCGCGTTGAAATCGATTTTTAAACCCTTTACCTTCGGGTGGATAGTGTATACGGTTTGTCATTCCATTTGTAATTTTCACAATATTCCGATCCTATAAAATATATAAATTGAGAATCCTTATAATTAGCGAAGTCGATTTAGTGATGTCCTTCTGTATGTCTGTATTTTGAAATCAATTTTCTAAAGATCCCAGATACCTCCGATATCCACAACTTTGATAATTCTATCAGACATGTTTTCGAGAAGTGAGCTATTCAAAATCAGCTGTTAATTGTTTCTAAATTTATCTAAGTTCAATAAAACCTTATATGAACTCCACACAATCCTATATGTTTGGAATCGAACGATAAGGCTTGTATTGGAAACGAGAGATAAGCATATCCTACAAATCCAAGCACTTCACCTCCGCACTTTGGGTATGTTTTGCTGTCCACTGAGTACTTAATCTCACAGACAGAACTTATCAAGTTAACCATTACAGATTTTGTTTCAAAATTAATTTTTCTTTTAATATCGTCTTTTCTAACCGGCATCGGCGTACCTTTTCGGAATAAAAAAGTCTATCAGGTTCATAAAGAAAATATTCAAATATCAACTGAATTGAAGAGTTTGGTTTTAGCCAAGAAATTTCTATACATTCTTAATAGCAAGGATTTTTAAGACTACTAAAAATATTCGAACATTGACTAGTCAATAGTCTAGTCGATACTCATTATACTAGTCTAGAAACTAGTTAATGGACTAGTCTAGAGACTAGTTAATGGACTAGTCTATAGACTTGTCAGTAGACTAATCAATAGAAAATTCAATAGACTTATTAATAGACCAATCAATAGACTTATCAATAGACTATTCAATAAAGTAATCCATAGAACAGTCAATAGACTAGAATAGTCATTCTCTCTCATTTCTTTAATTTTTTAGGCTATTGACTTGATTAATGTTTTAGTTTGAGAATGGATCTATCCTCTCTATTTCCTTCTTTCATTCTTGTATTCTTATAGTGTTTTTGTTTCTCTGTCTTTGGATCTTCACTCTTTGAAGGGAATCACAATGGACCTAATGGTCTCCGAGTGAAAGCACTCCTCTTTATGGTGCATAACCCTTCTTAACGTAAACCTAAAGCAAAACAATTAAATATCTGAATTATTGGCTTAAATCTAGTTAAATCCATGTTTGTGGCATAGATTCCAAAATCCTTGGGTTGATAGAACTTTATGTTCAGAGTTTGTGTGCAAATAGTTTTTGTAGGCGTTCCATAGTTTTGGAATGATGACATTCCAAATATTAGACAAGTAAGAATATATAGTCGGAAATGGCCTACCAGTGATTTTGTTTTGTTTTTGTGTTTTTATCTTAATTCAGAAATATATATTTTAACAATTTGTTAACAAAAAAGGGATTTTCTAAATTTCCTTATAAATTTTGGTAGAGGGATTTACGTCTACATCAGTTATTTATGCAGAATATTATCGTGATAGTAGTGTTTATAAGTGAATTTTGACCATGAAGTCATTTTCTGAAGGGGACTTTATATGGGGAAACTGATTCTGAGACGAATGGTATACTTGGTATACTTGAAGGTGTGTGTAGGACCAATATAGTGGTGTAGGGTATAAAAAGTATACATAAAACGGTAGACCCAAACATCGTAATGAGCAGTTTTTAGCTGAGCCACTGTTCCGAATTATTTTACTTATTAATTCTAAATAGAATTCATTATTGCTAATCTCTACTCAAGCTTTTCCAGCCTCAATTTTTTGATGGGTTGTAGGGCGTTAAAATTCGTTACAGCCGAATTAAATACATTTAAATGCAACCATGTGCTTAATTAAAAATACGGGTACCAAACAACAAAAATAAAAACTGACACAAAAAATACTGGTCATTTTTACACAAATACTGGGAATTATTAAACATATACTTTAAAAATAAAAATAATTTGCAAAAATAAATTTAAAAAACTTATGTTTTTTATATATGTTTTTAACGACTATTATTATATTAGAAAATTTACACACATATTTATTTAGAAAATATTAAGGGTCTATATATACATAGATAGCTTTAAAGTCCTACCTTAAGCCTAGGAGCATCAGCAAAATTGGGGGTAGCTGCTGATGATTGTTGATTACTCCTCTTTTGTGGGTTGCCGGAATTCAGTTGATGTTGCTGGTGATGATTTGTGGCGGTGGTGGTGGTCGATGAAGATACAACACCAGAACGCGAACTGCTCGTGGCGCTGCCAGACAGTAACGCGTTTTCTGCATGGGTTTGGGATCGCGTCTTACGCATTACAAATATTTAAACGATTCACAAGATTTTCTTACAAAAAACACACGCACGCACGCACACTACACAAGGATTTTCGCTTTTTTAACACACAACTAAATGTGAGATTCATAAAATCAGGATATTGATATAGTTTGTGTAAAATAATTGCCAATGTTTAGAAACTTAATAGATTTTTAAGTTGGCAATTGTTAGTTATTTGTTTATATCACACTTTTATCTAATTTACATCCATAAAATCTTGTTTGCGGCGGAAAATTTTTTCGGAATCAAACTTTCGTGGTATGGTTCTTGGGTATCAAATAGAATGCACTAAAAGCAAGTAGAAAAAAAAACAGCTGTCATGTGTAGATGATGCAGAGTAAACGAATAAAAAAGAAAATGCCAAAATGTAAATTTCCCAGTATTTTTTTTCGCTGGTGGTGTTCACTAACAGACTTTCCTTTTTTTATATGATTGTTTTTTATTTAAATAAATTTTTGAGTATAAATAATTAGGATTAATTGATTATTTCAAAATATTTAAATATACAATTTAAAAATAATTCCAGAAATAATAATAATTTAATAAAAAAGCGTTGAATTTTCAAGAAATATAAGAAAAATAGTATTATACACTGAGAAAAAAATTATACAGAATTATCTATTATATACCCTACACCAATAGCGAGAGTATTTTAAGTTTGTGCGAGTTCTCTTACAGTGATTACCATTGAAGTACGATTTAAGGCTTCAACATTAAATTTCTCGAAAATTCTATATAAACAAACAATTGAAATGAGGGGGTTAGAGATAATATTATCACCGAAAATTTATAAGAAATAAAATTTAAAAAAAATATAAGAAAATAAATAAATTTAATCGTAATTTCTTTATAAAGCAAAATAAATCTATAAACTTTTCTATAGAAAAACTAAGTTGTGGAAAATTGTCTATACACATGGAAAAATAAAGTAATATTTACCCTAAGAAGTCAAAACAATCGATATTTTTTTAATCATAGAACATTTTCTATAGAAATAATAAAACGTCAAATAATTTATATTGACATAAATACAAACATGAGTCAATGCTATGTTTGATATCTATTAGTATAGTATATCAAAAGAGAGATATTTCAAAGACCTTTCTTTCATTTGATATGTGATCCTTTTCTAGTAAAATAGCAGATTGCATTAGAAATGGAAAATTCAGTACTTTAGTACTTCTTAATATCGGAAAATACCGTGATACCCCCACATTTTCTTTACTTTTTCCTAACTCATAAACTTTTTTCACTTTGTAATCTATTCTATAGTATAGACTATGATCTAGTCTATAGTATAATCAATGATCTGCTCTATAGCTTAATCTATGATCTAATCTATAGTCTAATCTTTGATTTAGTCTATACTCTAGTAGTTTAGACTATAATCCGGTCTTATAGTCAAGTCTATAATCTAATCTAGGATCCAATCTATGATCTAGTCTGTAGCCCAGTCAATAGTATAGTCCATAGCCTAGTATATGATTTCGTCTATTGTCTAGTATTTGATCTAGTCTATAGTCTAATCTATGATCTAGTCTATAGTCTATTTTATAGCATAGCCTATAGTTTAATCTATTGTATGGACTATCGAAAATTTAGGTTAGTATTCTAAAACCTGAAAAGTACTATGTTTGTTATAAGTTAGTACTTTTTCAAAATTTGAATTTTCCATGCCTGCATAGCATATAAAAAATAACGTCTAAGCTTTGCTCCATATTATACATTTTTAATTTTATTTATTAAAAAGTTGTATATATTAATATAATTTTATCCTTTTTCTTTAAACAAGGCATATTTTTACAAATTAATTATAATATTATAATTACTATTCATTTCAAATATGTTCTACTACACTTAAGTGTAATTACAGACTAAAAACAAAAAGGCAGTGCTGTACACTGTTCAAAAAAATAAAGAAAAACTTGGCTAAAATTTAATTTAAAAGAAGTCCATATCTCCACAGTTAACATCTAGAAAATCATCTTCATATGTTTGAAATGTTTTAGGCTTGACACCTTGTGATGTAGAGGGATGTTCTTCTACATTATCATCATTGGTTACATGATTAATTGGTATCGATTTGAAATCTAGTTCAATATGTTCATAAGCTTCTGGTGAGGGCGGAGGATTTGATACTGAAATGGATATTAGAATTAAAAATAATTTTTAATATTTCTCTTATTATATTCAACTTACAATTTCCATCATTTTGTTTTTGATTAATATCTTCTCCGAATAACATTTGATCTTTGCGTGTATTTAAGTGGGGTAACTCGGCGCCCTGTTCACATAAACGTTTTTTAAGTTCTTTTACTTTACGTTCACGCATTATGGCTTTCATATCTTTGTGTTTTTTATTGGCATTAATGCGATCTTCAGAGAATATTGCTTTTTGATCTTCGGCTGTTAGAGCATCGTTATGTTTTAAAAGAAACAGAAATACACCTCCAGGTGTACGGCGTCGTTGACCATTCTATAAAGGGAAAATATATAAAATATTATAATCTACTAAAAAATTAACATAATAGGATAATCAATAGACTAGTCAATATTCTGGACAAAACACTAGCCTGAAAGAAAGAATACTTAGCATAATCCTTTTTTACCTTTATTGTCATGCCACCTTCTGCCTCAATACGCTGGGTTTCCTTGTAGATTTTTAAAGGCAATTCTGTACCCAAAACTTCCACTACACGTACTGCAGAAAAATATCAAATACATTACTTAACAAATAAGAATTAACATTTTCCTCTAGTTACCCAATAGATCATCCTTTTCTTCGTGTAGTTTTAAAGCCATTTCTCTAGCCACCTCAACAGGTTCACGTCCTTCTATATCACACAAATCTTCTATATGTTTGGGATCATAGGAATTTGAATCGGAGCCACCGCTATAGGGAGATGAACGACGACGTCCTCGACTAACTCTGCGTTTGCCCAAACGTTCGTGTACTGAACGCCGAGAGGATGATGTAGAAGACGATGAGCATGACTTGACATCACCACGACTCGATGGCCTCTGACGTTTAGTGTGCGGTTGATGTTGGTCGCTGTCGGAAAGATCATCGTTGGAGTTAGAGAGACGTCTTTTAAGGCTGTTTTCACCATTTAAACGATAACGCAAAGAAAAATCGTAGTTCTCAACATTGCGATCATTAAAACCATTCTGGGTGACATCACAGCCACGCATAGTTTCTGTGAGAGCTTCTTCCTGCAAGGCAGCTGTCCATATGTCATACTTTTTGAATCTAGCCTTTTTCTGTTCGGCACCATCATCTGCCGTGGGATGAATACGTACCATAACGGTGCGTTTAATGTGACGTTTTTTATGTTTACGTTTCTTGTCTTTATTTAATTTCTCCAAACAAGTGTCCGAGGAATCCCCCGATGACGTTGAAGAATACTCTTCATCTTCATCAACATCCAGTTGATTAATTTCCTTAGTGGTTTTGTCTTCATCGGCATCCATTCTTATGAATTTTGTTTCTGCGCTTAAGGCTGCCACTGGCGTTGGTGTGGTAATGGTGGCGCTTACATTATGGGTCAGTGATGCTGGCCTTTGGAGTGGGGTATACACTTCTTCTGAGGTATCCGAAAGCTTTTTGTTATGAAAAAAAAGGTGAGTGACCGTCATTGATTTGAACGAGTTTGGTATGATGCACTTTTGAGTTTGTTTTTATTTTCCACTTACCTCTCCGTCTTCGATGTCAACATCATTTACACATAACTCGGCATCCATCATAGTTAAATAATAAATTTGTTACTTTTTGCAATAAATACTATATATTTTTACAAAATTTCTACGAAAAAAATTGTTTGCAAGATATAAAATATGAATGCACCCCCAGAGACCTGCGCCTACAAGCATCAATGGCGGCGGCAGATACTAATAATTATAGCGGCGGCTTTAAATCAGCTGTAATTCGGCAAATTTAAATAAAAACGGAATTGGAGAAATTAAAAAGTGGGATTTTGGAAGCAAATATTTTAAAAATCAGGATTGTCTACCAGAGTAGGAATTAATTCTGTCTTAAGATTTTTGCACACAACAGATTTGACGCGAAAAAGTTCTAGCCGCAGAATTTCTACTCGCAGTCGACAGAAATGTCAACAAAAATTCTCCTTTTAAAATACCCATTGCTACTTGAACCATTTTTTTATGAGGTATGATAATGTCTTTTTCCCTCTCAGCACTTCATTTCATCGAAACAAATAACACATAGTTTTTCTTCGACACCTAGTTCAAATGACCCCATATTAGACAAAGTTTGGACCTGAATACCTGTCTTAACGCTTAGTTTTGATGACGTTGGCAAAGGGTAATTATTTTTCGTATAAATTTGTAACTCCGTGGGCCTGCTGAATAAAGAGAAGTTGCGAAGGAAATGTCTTCTAATGTGTAGCGTGGTACTTTCGAAGGAATAGGCAAACTTTTGGATTGATTTAATTTTGCTAGTGCTTCACTATTTTCGAATGTATTCAGTTGAAATTCTAAACTTGCTATTTTTTCTTCTAAGTTCCAGATACTCTTCATAATATTCATTGCCAATAACATCATTCAACTCACTAAAATACTTAACATTAATAAACTATAGCACTGTTAGAGGGACAAAATCGATTTTTTTAGAAATAAATCTTCTTCCTTTAAGAAATGTTGTACTTTTTCTAATTGAACTTAAATAAAACGTGACAAAGGTAAAGGACTTATGGATAAATAAAAATTTATTTCGCAAAGTATAATTGTATTTGTCAGTTCACACAGGGAAACTTTTTTGGGAAACTTTTGATTTTGTGTGTGAGAAAAAGAGAACGAAATATCAACCATCTTTTTCTTCCACACACAAAATCAAAAGTTTCCCTGTGTGGACCGCCTCTAAAAGGTGCAAAATTTCATAAGGAATGGAAAATAAAATATGTATGTACATATATTTTTGGAACCTAATAGAGAAATTGGCCTAACATTTCAAATCTTAAACTTGAATTCTCCGTGGCTACGTCCATGTCAATTTTTATCCCGATCGGACTAGCTGTTTAGAAATCTCAGATTTACTTCCAAAAAAAATCGATTGTGATCGGAGATATGTATATACATACTTTACAGATCAATTAGTATTTTAAAGTTACCTAGTGGTCATTGGGACAGCATTACACGTTTTTCATTAACTGAAATATTACTCTTTTGGCAAATCTTCTTCGGAAATTTTAGATACAGTGGCTCTCATAAGTATTCGAATTTAGATAAACTATGAAAAGAAACCAAGTTTAATAATTTTTTTTATTTCACCCTTTTTCC